CAGGAGGTCTCCCATCCAGGTACTGACCAGGCTCACACCTGCTTAGCTTCAGTGGGTTGCCAGTTGTGAGTTGCAGGGTGATATGGCTGCTGGCTAATATGGCTAATTTACACGATCACGGGTTCGAGCCTGGGTCTTGTCACCCGGCAACTGCGACGCACAATTGTCCGAGCTCTGCTGGAGGTGGAGTGCGATTAGGTGGCCACGGCTGTCTTGGCTCTCAGTGAGCCCTGTGGCACCCCAGGTGCTTGCAGGCACGTCAGTGACAGACACGCCTCTCCACCAATCAGCTCTGAAACACCCGCAGGAGGCGGAGTGGCCGCCGATATCCGAGAAGACCATTGGCTCAAAGGTGGGCAGAGGGGAGGGGTCTGCCTGCCTCGTTCTCCCCTGTAATTGGTCATGGTACAACAGCCATGAGGCAAGACAAGAAAAACGCACTTTGGGGGGGGCAGTCCAACCTTGGAGGGTACAACTCAAATTACTGGCAAATGACACACGAGCTACTGAAAAGTAAACCAACAAGCAGTGGCCGTAATTGACCGTTGAATCCAACTTCCTTTTTCTTTTAATCATGACTTGTTTTAGTTTCCTTGTATCTATCAAGACTAAACTCTCATTATCTCCATGGTTACACACTGACACAAAAAAAAATATTTCCACGTCTGCGACAGAGGAAGGGGGGGTCTGGCTGTTACTGCATTTTGAAATACGCTGCATGTTGCTGGGTTTCACCCAAGAGAAGCTCCATCTTAAATATTTACTTTTAGCCCTGTAAGATCGCATTACCTTGAAGTCTTTCAAAGGCACGAACTTCTCAATTCCCAGCTCAATCATGTCCAGCACATGGAAATCAAACATGCGCCCTGCAATTGGTAAAGAACAATCACTTTTTCAGATCACTTTTGGCCTTGCAGTTTTGGTCTTTCTGTGGTAGGAAGATGCATACGTACCAAATACGAGGTTGTGGGGCCGTTTCTTATTGTGGGAGCCAAATACAAACAAAGAGCAGTCCGACTTCTTTGAGAAGAACTCCTGCAAGGTCAAATCAAATAGTACAGCCAGTTTAAAAGCAATCTGGGGGAGTTAAATACTTAATTCCATCAATCCATTTTCTAACCACTTCGTTCAACTCTGGATTACAGGGCAGTCGGAGCCTATCCCAGGAAGCAACGGCCACAAGGCGGGTTACACCCTGGGTGGGATGCCAGTCGATCACAGGGCGCGCACACACACACTCACATCACGGACAGTTTCCCCAGATGTCAGCTAACCAACCAGCATGTCTTTGGGCTGCTGGATGAGTCAGGAGCACCCAAAGGAAACCCCCGCAAACATGGGGAGAACATGCTGTACAGACAGCACCCCAGGAACTGCACCCAGAGCCCCAACACTATGATGCAGCAACGCTGAATTGCAGTGCCCCCATGCTGCAGAAAAGCTTTTAATTAATTTTAAGTGCATGTTATGTCCCTGAGTAAGAATGGAGTATCTTCTAAACTCATCTGACAGTATAAACTTCCCAATCCCATCGCAGGCAAATGTACAGCACCGGAACGGGTGGGTCACACCTAAGAGGCAGACCTGTGAAAGAGTCCAGCAGAGGATCTGAACCCCCCTCCTGGGTATTAAACACATGGAGAAAATGGTAAACCTCAAGGCACTCAAGCTCAACCCCTGTCCTGTGCCCAAGAGCTCTGTGTGTAGATGTGTTTTTCCTCTACAGAGCAACACCTGTTTAATCTCGAAGTGAAATATTGTTTTGTCCAATGGATTTGCCTTGTGCCCTCGATGGAAAAGTTTGCATTAGAGGACAGAGTGCTACACTGAGTGAAAAGAAGCAAAAGAGCTGAGAGCTGCTTACGATGGATGTTTGGTCCTCGAAGGGTCTGGTTATATTCTTTCTGAAAAATGAAAGAGTCCCATTTTAAACAAACACACACATTTCTTCATGGTTCCTCATTGTTGGAAAGATTTAACTTTACTAAATGCGTACAAGAACTAGATTAAAGATTTGATTAAAAGAGAAATTAAAACATAAAATGCATCAATTTAAAAATTACCAGCACGGAAAGCAAAGCAGTAGTTCTTTTTTAACAATGCAGCTCTTGAAAATGTTACTTATACTTACTTTTTGTAAGTAACAGCATTTGGTTTCTTCAGGGAATACTGAAAAAAAGAAGAACGATTTTTTACCACAAGTCATTTTTTATGGTTTTAAAAAAGACGCATTGCTCTGAAAGTAGAAATGTCCCCCATGTGGTCTCTGCTCACACTTCAGACCAACTGGTGCCGTTCTCGTGTTAACACACTGATGCACGATGAAAACACGATGGTTTAAACACTTCAACAGCTCACGGGGCACAGGCATCAAGATGCTTTCATTTGAAATACTGAGCAGATAACATTTTGAGCAGCGCTGCTCCTTGTGAAGGTGTGATCTTATAAAGAACGACAGACGCTCAGTGACTGGCAGCCATGTGGGGTACAAATCGACAAAATCGACAAAATTAGCTGATTAAGGACCTTGTGCACACAGCATTTCTATTCTATTCTATGTCTGAGTACGCTTGCGGCAGTGTGGAAAAACTACCCAGTTTTTGTGGTGTTCAAGGGAACGTTTCCGCAGGTCTTTCCTCCCGGTGGCTGTCAGGGTGTATAACGCTGCCCTAGTCTAGGACTGTTAGCCCTTCATTTGCTCGTCTATGGACAGCATGTTGCTCCATTGTACTTTTTTTTTGGGGACAATCAGTCTGTATAAACCTACGCACATTTTGCACATATTTTACTGTTTTTACAGTGACTATCATCATATTGTGCACACACCTATGTATTTATTTTAATTTACTGTATTTCATATTTATTTTGTATTACTGTACATTCTTATGTTTCGCCAATTCTGATGTCTGTCTTTTTTGCTCGTCTCGGGCTGCTGTAACATCAATTTCCCTTCGGGATCAATAAAATCTTATCTATCAATCATTTCAACTGGTGCAAGAACAAACCTGATGCCTTTTCTATGTCCGAGTCCGCCTGTGGCAGTGTGGAAAAACTACCCAGCCGTGTTGTGGAGTCTACACCCTGGCCCCTCTGATTCATTTACTACTAGATACAAAACAGTCCTGATGGGTGGAATGGCCTGCTCTCTTTTGAAACCTTTCTTATGGTTCATTTAGGATTGGAATAAGGGAGGGTGGTCTCGTGGTGAGAAAGTGCACAGATGACGTGCCGATGTCCTGTCGGGAAATTAAGCTGTCCAGTCCAGAGAAAGCAGCAAACAGGCTGTGTAACTGGCAGACCCGAGGACAGGAAGATTCACCAGTCCTGTCACGATCTCCGACTGCAGCATGAGAAAAGTAGCCTGCATATAAACGGGACAGCTGTAATAAACTGCCAGGACAAAAAGGATCTGCCTGCTGACGTTCAGAAGAAACGCCGACAGCCGAGAGACAAAATCCCTGCCTTCAGCGGTTGAAGAGCAGGCGAGATGGAGGCAACAGAGCTGCAGTGGAATGACTCAGGAATGCCGTTCTGCCCTGGACAAAGCTCAGGGCCCCCAGCTCGTGCAGCGACCTGGGCAAGCAGTGTGCGGGTGCTTATGTTGCTCAATCTAATCGGGCCTCTGGATCAGCTTTGCCAGCTGACTGCAGAGGCACAGCAAAAGTGGTATGGTATGCTGGCAGTCCTGCCAGCAAAAATCAGTGCTGGCAGGACTGTGTTAAGATGCAACATACAGATGTATTTTGATGGGTTTTCACTCGAGTGCTGTGATTGTTTTATTTGCACGCTTAAAATATTTGATTGAATCCGTTAGAACTGATGCATTTCCACTGTGCATCAGCACACAGCAAAAATCCTTCCGGGCATCTCTCCCAGATCGTTTTTAAGCAAAAGCTATTCAAATGTTCAAAAATCCTAATGTGGACTCATTAACAAATGATTTGCAGATTAAATGAGTTCCAGACAAATTTCAGGAAAAGGTTTATAATAAAACATTTGAATACTGAAAGAAATACACACTGTTTATGTCCTGGGAGTTTTAAAAAACAGCTTTATATCCAGTTTTTTGGACAAAGAAGTGTCCAGTTTATGCCATACCCTTATATTTTCATGGTACAGCTGTACTACCACTCATGACAGAAATGCACTACAAAGGGCTGTGGCAACAGCACAGAGGATCATAGGATGTGATTTACCATCAATCGGTGAGATTCACATCATCCACTGTCACAATAAGGCCCAATCACCAAATCCATCCTTCAGGATCCCAGCCATCCCTGCTCTCTGGCCAGCGGTGCCACACTGTTAAAGCACAGGCCACTAGACTCAAGAACAGCTTCTACCCTACTGAGTGCACATCCTCAACAGCTATCTGCAGTGCCTCAGAGTCAATACACATCTGCACTATTTGCATAGTCGACCATGTTTTTTTTGTCTCTCACTACTACATATTTACAATCCCACAACATATTTATCATTCTGGTTGTATTACTTATTAAGTTTGTAAAGTACAGTCTACATTCTGTGGTGTTGTCTGCTGTACTGTGCACATCCCGAGAGATCGCACCAATAAGAATTCCAATGTACGTGGTGTAAATATGGCAAAAAAAACTCCTCTACTCATATTTTGGAATCTTAAATCCTACACCACGTTTCTGGTGGGGGTTGGGGTGACGCAGAGAGTACGCAGGACATATCATTGATCATGGACGCTGTGCTGTAATATCCATTCCTTCGGATTAGATGTCAAACCACGGTTCTGGTAACTTGCTCGGAAAAGACCCTATGGCACTTTTAAAAACGAGTTTGAGTGTTACCCTGGTGTTGTGGCTAAATGTCACTCTGGGCTTGCTCCCTAAATAAACTGGCGATAACGATCTCACTTCTCCAGCAGGTCTACCGTGGATGAAGTGTGTCCCCTGCTGTGTCAAGCGCCTTGGGATCCTACACACACGCAACCGCTTACAGGGATCATCGGAGAGAAACGACACTCACAAGGTCCTTCAGAGCCTGGGTGACAGTTTCACTGGTGTTCCCCCCTTTGATGAGCATCGCACTCTTCTCATTTTCAGTGAGCTTGGGCTCCCGGCTCTGGAGAAACCTCTTCGATCGCTTTGTTTTGGGTTTTCTGCAGATTCAAAACAAAGGCTCGTGAAGCAAGAGAATTGATCAAGATGCAAAAAGCTACAAACACTGACAAGGACACTTCTAATTGGGGAGGTGAAAAGCTTGTGGAAACGTACCCAGCCAAAACCTACTGTAGCTGGTATTCTGCGAAAAAGGCAACTCCACATCCCATACTGCCATATATTTTAATTACACACATGGCCTTTCTGTCTGTTTTCCTCTGTAACAAGTTACAGGTCTTCCTCTGACAGCCACCTTGCTATTTCTCACACCCATATTATTGGAAACAAGGTGTGGTTTTACTAGGATTTACCTTGTTAAACCTAAAACACCGAGAGTACAATAAACTTTTTTTTTTTAAAAAAGGGCCCTTCGAGCCTCTAAATTCAAATATCACAGAGGAATTCAGCAGTTAAAGAGTTCGTTCGGAAACATGTCCTTCCAAGGATTTTAAAAATACCAAATATACATTAATAATCTGTACAACTATGCTTCTAATTGGGGACTTTTTGGTTTTAGTCACTGAGATACTGCAAAGTTTTTAGCAGCTGAATATCTAAAAACGATTAGAGTGAAAGAAATCATAGCAGTATGGGAAAAAAACAACAATTTTATTCTTCAAGTTAAGCCTGAAAAACAGCACCTCGGCCTCTATGCACCCAAGAATACTCAATTTGTGGGGACAGTACCCAAGTGCATCTGGGCTGTTTCCAGAGGTTTAGACCGAACGTATTCAACCCTGGAACTTCTATTTCATGCCATTAGAGGACTTTGAACCAATGCAATAAGTTACTGAATCGATCCTTAATTAAACAGCCCAGATGCTGAAAAACACCTTGTGTGGACGAACTGTCTCTTTGGCGTTACCAAGATTTACAGTAATACTCACCAATAACTTAACCCCCCGTATAGATACGCCAGTGTTAACCTGACAAGAACTAGGTCCTGCATTATTATATTTACAATACAAATTTCAGGTATTTCACTGGAATCTAATCAAACCTTAAAGAAGGTGTGACTTAACACATAGACTGAATAAGTTAACCGCCTGCATACCCACCAAACACAAATACCATTCATCGGAATATTTCATTTTTCCAAGGTAATGAATCCATATTTTAACGCACTGTCGCAAAAATGAAAAACTACATTCTCAAACACTGATCATAGTTCACTACAGTTTCCTATGCACGTTTCACAAAATACGCTACAAGCTTCCACGTGTTAAACTAAAAATACTCGTGCGGTTGCTTCTCTAATAATATTAAAACAAACACATCATCGTAAAATGTTTGGTAACTTACACTACGGCATCCAGCTGTGTCATTTTCACGACCTTAATCGATAAAACTCACAGACGCTTGAGGAAAACGCCGTCTCTCCACGTGAATCTAACACAGGAAACAGTATTCAGTTAGACCCACCCCCTTTGTTACGCAATTTCCTCTCATGGCATAAACACGCGTGAAAGCGTACACACTCTCCCCTTCCACTTTCTTATCTACTAGTATACTCAAACGAGGAGCTGCGAGGGTGGCTCGGTGGTCATTTATTACTATTTGGTATGGCTCTTGGGCAGCTTAGTGGCGCAGTGTTCAGCATCGCTACCTCGCAGCGCTGGGGCCCTGGGGAACTGGGGATCTTGTGTCCATTCTCAACTAATAACCAGCAGCCATATCACCCTGCAAGCCAGCAGCCATATCACCCTGCAACTCACAACTGGCAGCCAGGAGGTCTCCCATCCAGCTACTGACTTGAGAGAGATTCCTGGGCTTTTATCTGCAGAAAGTCTTATTGTAAAGCTGCAAGTTATGTGTAGACTGTAAGATTAGGGCGTGTAGAATGAGTAGTATACAGTGCCTTGTGTTATAAATGTCACCCTGCAACTCACAACTGGCAGCCCACTGAATCCCAGCAGGTGTGAGCCTGGTCAGTACCTGGATGGGAGACCTCCTGGGAAAAACTAAGGTTGCTGCTGGAAGAGGTGTAAGTGGGGCCAGCAGGGGGCGCTCACCCTGTGGTCTGTGTGGGTCCTAATGCCCCAGTATAGTGATGGGGACACTATACTGTAAACAGGCGCCGTCCTTCGGATGAGACGTAAAACCGAGGTCCTGACTCTCTGTGGTCATTAAAAATCCCAGGGTGTGTCTCGAAAAGAGTAGGGGTGTCACCCCGGCGTCCTGGCCAAATTTCCCATCGGCCTTTATCAATCATGGCCTCATAATAATCCCCATCTATAAATTGGCTTCATTACTCTGCTCTCCTCCCCACTGAGAGCTGGTGTGTGGGGAGCGTACTGGTGCACTATGGCTGCTGTCGCATCACCAGGTGGGGCTGCACATTGGTGGTGGTGGAGGGGATCCCCATTACCTGTAAAGCGCTTTGAGTGGAGTGTCCAGAAAAGTGCTCTATAAATGTAAGCAATTATTATTATTATTAAATGTTACATGTTGTTGTTATGTGTTACACTTTACTGTGCAACAGAATGATGTGCAGTGTTTTTCTTATTTTTTGTAATAGTATAATGTGCGATGTTTTTCTTTTCTTTTCTTCTCTTTTTTTGGACTCTATTTAAAGAAATAGATTTAAATGAGTGCTGGGTGTCCATAAAACAAATCCCTCAGGGGACAATAAAAATCGTATCTTGCAGAAGTATTCAAAGACCCTTTCAAATGTTTCTGGATTACAAATGACACTTGCACATCTTTTTTTCCAAACAGTATTTTTATTGCGAACTCACACGGTAAAATAGTTTTTTTTTTAACAGACAAAATGAGTTATTTATCAGCAGATACCTAGAAAAAAAGGCAAAAACCGAAAATGCTGCTTGCGCAAGTCTCCAGAGCCCTGCTCTCTGGCAGCTCGAAGGTTATGGAGGTGAAAGAGAGTGTCCTAACAGGGATCTGATCGCCTGAGCGCACGGCCGTGACCCTCGGCTCAATTTTGTACTAGAAGTTCACGTGGGTGTCACCGGGGCTCCGGTTTCCCCCCCACCCCAGTCCTAAGACATGCTGGGAGGTTATTTGGCTTCTGGGAGAACTGGCGCTGGTGGGAGTGTCTGTCTGCCCTGTGATGGACTGGTGTGAGGCCCCAGGTGTGTCCGGCCTTGGGCCCGTTGCTTGCTGGGATAGGCTTCAGCTCCTGTATGGCTAAGGCGATCAGAAGATGAATGAATGGACGGATAGGCTACGGAATTAAAAACTGTGATCTACGTTCTCCATCATAAGGATCAGGTGACGGTTCATTCCGTGCCAAAAGGTAAAGAAAAGTAACACCACGTTTCGGCTGTGTGTGTTTCAGACGTGTGTCAATATGTATGAAATCGGGTATGAAAACTTTACAACTGAACTATCTTTCATACGCTGGTCGTGTTTCTGTGTATTTCCTTATATCCGTACACTTACCCCTATCCCTTTGTTTCTAATTGTGCAAGTCCGGGCATCAAATACACACAATTGTCAAGCTTGCCACTAGATGTCCTTAAAGGCTAATGGAAAAACGGACGAGAGCTGGTTTCAAAAAGAACCTCGTTATGTTTTACGTTTTGTGTGTGTGTGTGCGGGGGGGCATTCATGGAGCACCTGCCTTTTCTATGCCTTAATAAACTCCCAGTTGATGTACCGAGGGTGTGAATAAAAAGGCGAGCTCGACTACCAGGAGGGGCGGAATGGTTTGTCCCTGGAGAGTGAGCCATTCAGCTGAGGAGCAGACAGAAGTGCTCGGCGCACAGCGTCTACCGGGAATCGTGACGGCCATGTAGCAGCAGCGGTGTTAGATCAAGCCCTTCCTCGACGGGCAGTGCGCACAGCTGCTGTCGGGACTGTCCCACTCGCCAGTAACGATGATAAAACGAATGACGACGCCAGGAAAATGACCCCCGAGCTGTGCGGAACCATTTTGTCTGATGAGGTCGAAAGCAACGATCCGGGCAGCATGAATGTGACCCAGGACTGAAGGCCAGTGCAACCACCAGAGTCGATCAGGTGGAAAAAGAGCAAAATCTTAAAGACCTGACAAAGTGAATCTCCAGATTTAAATTCAACTGCGTGTGCATTTTCCACGTCAAAGGGAAAACAAAGCGAAAGTCAGAACAAGCCAAGAATGGGTAAGGACTCCAAAGCAGCTGCAGCAGAACACCTCGGGTTGAGCTCGGGGTTACAGACGTCAAAGGGCACCTGCAACTCGATACTAGCTTTCGCGCGCTCCGAGTGTTCACTAAGCCTGGTCACAGAGTGGGTTTTTGCTCTTAACTGTTCTAATATGATCAGACAAAATGCACGGACTTACCCCCCAAAATAAAATGCTGAGAATGGATGATCGCAAATATTAATTACATTCCTGTAAAAAAAAACAAACAAGTTTTCACTTTGCCGTGCCAATGCGTTTGAAGGGCACTGTATATAATATGTGTGTACATCTATAGTAACAGCTGCTCCTTTGTTCCTGGAGATTGGGATACTGGGCTAGCTCCAGCTTACCCTCATTATAATGTCTACCTAATTAAAAGCGTCATTAATCACAATATGAACAAGATGTGGCCCAGTAATCAAAATGGCAATACAATTCAAGATCAGATTATAAATTCGTAGTTTACAATATCGGTGTTGTCACTTTGATTTCTTCTTTTTTTGCTTGAAGTTCTTGTGTTTCTGGACCTGTTGGTAATTCACCTTTTATCTCTTGAAAAGGCAGGCACCCACAGAGGGTGGCTGGGGTACCCTGGTATGTTTGTGAAAATGTGAGGTGTTTTTTTTTATCGAGTACCAAAAAACTGGAAAAGTAAGGACAGCTATGAAACTAGGAGCTACGGAGAAATAATCAAGCCTGGAAGTACAGTGAAATATCCCATGGCTACAACACGTCACCAGCATTCCTGCGATGCCCAAGTATGTTTTGTCTATTAATCAGAGTGAGTCACACCACTGAGTAATTAAGCACCTGTCTGACAGGCACATGAATATGAGTGAGCAGTTGAATCTCAGTTCTTTGGTGAAAAGGATAAACTGCTGGGGACCTCACACTGCCACATTAGGGTTGTCCAATAAACACACTATGCACTGTGCAGTAAGCTCTCGTTTTTTAACGGGCTTCAGATTAAATGGACAAAATCTGCTAAATGTGAATGTTGTATGTAGAATAAATACTGGACATTCCCTGCAGTAATGGGGAAATGCTTAAATACTAAAACATGGGCATTGTTTTAGTATTTAAGCATGAATGAGAGACACACAGACAGGGAGAGAAGCTGGGGGTCAGAGCACAGGGTCAGCCATTTATACAGCACCCCTGGAGCAGTTGGGGTGAAGGGCCTTGCTCAGGGGCCCAGCGGAGTAGGATTCCTCTGCCGGCCGCGGGATATGAACTGGCAACCTTCCAGCCACAGAGCCACCCCACCATAATGTCATTATGAAATGACTTCAAATGTACTCCACTTTCCCAGTACAATGGGACATTTTGCATGGCAAAGCCACATGGTCAAGAATACTACCTTACACCACAATACTGGAGTTTGCATTAAAACTATTCTTTCTGTACAGTACATTTATGCTGGCATTCATGCACAAATTGTCTCTCACCATGGCTTCACTGTACAACCTGCACTGGAAAGAAAAACTGCCTGACCACATAAGTGTCAATAAAGTAACATACTTCTTGGGAGTATCTAAACCTTCTCTTAGTAGTTGTTGGTAGTACTAAAACCCCAGAAAGTGCAGTTTTCACGTAATTAATGACAAATGTATAACAAGTTCAGAATAAGACAGAATACAATCACTGTATTTGGCCGAAAGGTTACATGTGGAGTGGCTAGTTTCTTTAGACATCTGTATCATTAGAACTGCACTGGAGCAATTTGCACCTGGGAGATCATGTAACTATGTTTATACCTGGGATTACATTACAGATGCAAAATAAAGAGTGTTAATGGAGAAAGTTTATGTGGTTACGTGAACACACACCTGCATCAACACTATGATACCCCAGCCATTTTGTTTCCTCGCCAGTCTACACATGTAGGAGATATTCAGTGGGTGTTAATACACACGTTGATATTCTTAATGCAGGCAACTATACTGTATAGCTGTAGGCAAAATAATTGCTATACAAGGGAGTATTAGTTGGAACATTAAAATAATGCAGGATGTTTTCTCTTTGTTGAAACGTACAAAATACTTTCTGGGTGGTAGTTGCATGCTGTCAGGATCTAGCTACATTGTAAACCAGAGATGCAAAGGTCATCTTTTGAGCTCTGAAAAATCTCTTGAATAATGGTTAAGTGACAGAACAAAGAGCAGTAATAATACACCCTTCCTGACCACAGCCCATTGCCTGAACAGTGTGTGGACTGACTTACCTCCCTAACAAATTAACTTGAGAAGAACTTGCTACTTCATTCCCTGCATTTTGAACCCGACAAGGGAAGTCATAATGATTCACTTACATTCAATATAATCAGTGCACCCCTTCACCTGTCATGCAAATTAGTCTGAACTGGTATGCATCCAACTTCACCTGCCGGTGACTAAGTACCGTGTGAAAAAAGGTTTCACTCATTCCTCTCAACATCTGCCACTCAAAGAGGTGAGTCAGGCTTACTGGAAATCATCTCCGAATATTCAAGATGACCTGTTAATTGTCTGACTTAATGACACCCACTTATCTTACAATAATAACACAGACTGAACATATGAATTTGTATCTTATGAAAGACACCTAACACCCCCTTAATACAATCCAAAATCATAAGTTTCACATTAATGTGGGTTTACTGTACCACTCATCTAGAAAAGTGCTTTGTTTCTGCGCAACGGCTGCACTATAACGAATTAGAGTAAAGCCCAGTTTGCATTATGCATTCATTTGAAGTGGTCTTGAACGACTCCATAAAGGTGTATTACTTGTAAACTCCACATTTGTGCTGCACTTGCACCCTTCTACTCTGCACTCAGAGCAAAATCCCGTTGAAAGTCTGTCAGATAGTTACACAGCTGGAGAAAACACTGCGACACTTGAGGCCTCTTAACGTCTTTAAAGAAAACACACATGGAAAGAGCAATCTTGTTTATTAAAGCATAAAGCTCATGGTACAGATATATTTGAGCACATCCTGACCAACCAAAGAAGAGCAAGAAAAGAAAACGCCAAAGCTTCCCTTCGGAACATCCCGATTCTCCCAGATGAGCGCCCAGTCCTCGGCTCGCCACGAGAGGCCTGTCAAACTCCCTTCCCCTGAAAAGCCACAACAGGGCATCGAGAAACTACCGAACCACGTCGATGGATTCTTTTTCCTTGTGGGGAAAAAGAACTGAACCCTTGAGCATTCTTGACCGCCACCGCTCAATTTTTGCGTTAAACATTCCCCAGGTCATTTGAAATCCTTAGTGTAAAAAAAAAAGTTACAGAACAAGAAAAAAAAATTGGTCCGCATTGAAAACGCACCCCTTCCAACAGGCATCACATTTCCTTTTTTCCAGTAAAAAAAAAACTCTTGGAAGTGAAAAATGGTTCAGTGGTTTTCATATAAAAAAACAACAACTTTGAATCTGCATAAAGTTCTGAAGTCAAAATCTACCTAACCATTCAGCAAATCAAACAGATCACGTTTGTGGAAGTGTGCACACGCTTATATCCCTCTGGTTTACACACAGAGCTCCTGTTCCAAAGTGACCGCTACTGGAAACAAACTTGAGATAAAGCTCACAGCAAGGACCTCCCTATGCTGGTCCTTTAACATAGCAACCCCACATACAAGCCAACTGCACTGCTCAACGATCGGAGGCTTTCAGTGGAAACAGTGCTTGGTCCTTGCTTAAGCTACAGGTGGTCCTTTGAACTGAAATTGAGGATAAGTTATTTAAAATTTGGAGATGCTCAACAAAACACTGGACTTTCTGTCCTTATTTTGAATTGCTTTTAGGGGTTTTCAGAGATCCTGCAAGTCAATCCCAACGAGACACTCAAAAACCTTATATTCATCTGCAAATGCTGAAAATACTGCTGGGATGTGGTCTTCAGTGTAAAAACTGAATTTCTAGAGAGGCTTAAGACCTGTCAATGAGTTCAGACAGTGTCTCTGGCAGCAGGAACAGGAGCACTGTGTGTGCTCTTTGAATCACTTTTACACCTATATTCCAGAATTTTAGCGTTCCATGACTTGCTTTAAGCACTACAGTATACACAAGCTGCGAATTACAGTACCTTCCAAGTTTCTAGGAACAGAAGTAAAAGTTCAAAATTGACCCATTTTCATGATGACCCACCCTATAAACTTTAGGAAGAATCACCGCCTATATAAACATTAATAGGAAGATTTAGCACGTTAACGCATACAGGAGGAACAGAATGCAGCTCACAACACAGCACGAGTAGTCACAAACACCACAGTGTCACAGATCTTTCAGTCACTGAACAAAGGGCATTGATGCTGCTCCAAAAACTGCAACGGAGTCACATTTTGGACCAATTCACTGCAGAACGTCCATTCACAATAAAATTAATAAAACGGCAGTTTATGCAACAGTTATATGCAGAATAATCCGGGATGACCCTGGCACGCTCAGATTGGTGCGCGTCTATTGTCTGGCTACCAATTTCTGTACAGAAAAGGTAGATATATTGTTCTCAGAAAGAAAATGCATTGCTGGACAACCAACTCATTAAGCAAAGAGTCTGAATCATTACTTTCATTCAGTCCTGCAGGGTAGTGTCGGGGGAGCCACACAATCAGCTGACGGTCTCGCCTTATGACCAGAAATCCCTACTGTAACACAATGGGAGGCACACTGGATGATTCAAGCAAGGTATTGTCCAGCTCTGTCTGGATCATGTTAGTGCATCAGCTTCGAATAACACTTCCTTGGCACGTCTGCATCCCCTACAAGCCAACCTGGTTAAGTTCTAGGATGAATCAAAACAACTATCCAGATCTGGGATGAAGTAAATCACCACTTGTTACAGATTTCATGAGGCAGCGTTCTGTTTAATAGCGTGGGATTTAGATCCTGTAACGCACTAAATGTTAAGAAGCTGATAAAAGGACAAATGTGCCTAGGCACCAAAGCGCCATTAGTCAAAAAAGGCCGAAATCCTCTATTGACTTACAGGTACAAAAAGAAAAAAGTAGATATAAAAATATACAGCTGAACTATAAACCTGTGATGATCAGGGCCCATGTGTGTGGTAGCCTGTGCAACTCCAACTCGACTGCAGTCCTATGGTCTAATGGTTTTTGTACAACCTGGTTTCTCAGTCACACATGGGTCTAAACTATCAGTACTTTAAGCTGGACCCAAGAAGTTCCAAGGGTACCATTTTGAGTAAATCGGCTACAAATAGACTTAAACTACACATCTAAGGTTGGAACAAAAATTAGGTGACACCTGGCCCTCCCAGAAGCAATTTTAAGCTTCCTAAATCTTCTGAGGCAAACCCCTTTACACCTTTTCTATTGCAGAGGGCAAAAAAACCAAAACACTTTGCACTGGATATTTCCACTAATGCCAGAAAGCAATCCATGCAAGTCCTTCGGGATCCACTATCCGTGGGCAGAGTGAGGAGGGGTCAGGGCGACAGCGAGGACGAAGTCAGGCTGGCGATCAGTACTACAGACTAGTGAAGCAGCTGCCGGCTGTAACCTTAGGAAACTAAAATAAAGCCTTTATTTAGTGAAGAAGAATTCTTTTATGCCGTGTATTATGAGATGGGCAGGAGTTCAGAGCACTGGCAAGGAAGCCAGAATGTGTAGACAGAACACGTGAGCAATTTGCAGGGACATGGTGGCAAAATAACTAAGGATGCAGGATACTAAAACTCCCTCGTTAGAGATCTTTATTCTGGCTCCAATGCAGACGTGTCAAGCAGTTGTATCGGCCTTTTATCAACGTGGATTGACAAAAACATCAATGACCTTACGAAACAATGTGTTGACAGCTGCTAAGAAACCTGCAAAAACACATCACATGGCTTGGTTTCTTGTGTAATAGTAACCGTCTCTCTATAATTAACCCGACAAAGAGCGAGGAAACCCGTTCTTTTGACTTACACGGGGCTTTCATTCCTTTCCTGGAATTCAGAGAAAAATGTCAGTGCTTTTAAAAACAACGGCTCACAAAATTGATTAGTGGGTATTAAATGACAAGCCATTAGCTACAAAAGTTTTTTTTTTCCAGACATATGCAATGCACACTGGGGATTAAAAATGCAATCCTTACCTATATGAGTTAAACTGCCTACAGGTCTGCACTGTGACTGGGTTTCAGAAGTTCGACCACAACAAGAAAACAGCAGAAACCTTCATTACAAAGGTTACCGTGGACTTGTTTCCTAAGTGCTTAGGGAATGAAATAACCGTCTCCACGGCACTCTAACAGAGAGCTCACGCACTGCTGGGCTGCACTGAGCTGCTCGTTCCAGGTCCGTGAGATAAGACATCAGGACGAACAAAGCCAACAGAACTAATTCCAAGTGCTGGAGTATTTCAGTTGAGCCCGACCAGACGGGGACAGTGAGATTCGAAAAAAAAAACAAACAAACAGAACATACACTTTTCTCTGCAGTACAAAAAAAAAAAACCCAGACACTCACACCCAAGAACACGAGAACAAAAACGGTTCGCTCCACTTTGGTTTTTCTGATCCCAGAGATACCCTCCCTCAACGGTTTGAGCTTTCACTTGTGAAAACGGTTCAGAAAAATCAGGGGGATGTGGCCCGTTTTGAATGTGGAACACGTGACAGTCACGCCGCGCGTGCGTGCGGGCGCCCGACCTGAGCGTGCCAGGGCTCTGGCCTAGTGGGCTCGAAAGCCCTGTCTGTGGGGGATCAGGGGGGACACCTGCAGGAAGGGGCCGCGGCCCCTGCGAGTGGCGGCAAGCCTCCGGCGGCAGGCGTGGAATCTCTCGACATGCGCTTCAAGATCACAGCAAGGGTGAGCTAGAATACCTAAACAGAGAAAGGAGCTTTCATGCAAGATATCTAAGTCGCAGATACAGTAATGCATACAATTCACACTGGAGGCTAGGCTGGGGCCCACGGCACCAGCGCGGAGGCCCGGCCGGCCGCCGCCGGCTCGCCGCTTCCTCCTCATCCCCGCGGCTCAGCTCTGCTGGTTCTGCTGGCGGCCGCCCTTGGCGTAACTGGTGAAAACGAAGTTGTAGTCGTTGAACTGGGCCAGCTGGCGGTCAAGGCGCTTGTACCCTTCGAGCTTCTGGGCAGACGAGAAGACACTGCGACATTTAGAGCTCTGGAAAATAAACCCCCCCCGACAAACGCCAGGAATTAAAACTTTGGAAATTGGAATGAAAGACAAAGGAAGGATATTTGTGCACCCTGGGATTCCCATTAACGCATTCACAAACCTCATTTATAAGGATATTATAAACCTACTCATTTGCATCCTTTCAAAACACTGTTTACAGAATGTTAACTTCAATGCTTATGTGTTCCAAGTTAAGGATTTCAGCGAGGTATTAAGCACAAGAGATAAGGCTACACAGTCCCTGCAGTCCACTTTCAAAGGCACATGCTGAAGCTAAAGCTGTATTTCTGAAAATTAAAAGCCTAATGGAAAACCGTACGAACCTGATTCACAAAAAGTGTAGTCACAAATTTTCCTGGCTTGAAGACATCCACCACCTTTCTGATTAGCTCATCATAGGAGGACTGGGAGAGATTGGTTTCAAAGCTAACATAGGAGAACTCTGGCTCTGGTGTGATGTGGATCGTCCAGTAAGTTCCCTGCAGAAGACAAGGGGTACATTTCAACACAAGTCCAGTTAAAGAGCTTCTGCCTGACTGAGTGCTGCCAAGATTCACACCTTCCTAAACAAGGCTAATTCCAAGGGCACTGGTTGTTGCTGGGATGTTGTCAGATTCACACTCTGAGCTAACCAACGGACAGGCCTCACGAGGTTTCTAAAAATTACTTACATCTGTTTTCATTCCATTCATAGAATAGCCACATGGATTGAACATTGTGGCATCAATCACAGAACCTGGTATCAGGTCACGTATTCCACTCATCTAAAGAGAAAAAGAAGAATTATATGATGGGCTTACAAGTGAAACGAGGGTGATTTGCTGTAACAGAGAATTCCAGGTTTCTTTATTAAACATTTTTGCAGACTGAAGAGGCATTACTATCGAATTACACACTTCAATGTTACACACTTCAATGAGGTAAAAGGTGTTAAGCAGACTTAACTGAAATATTCTGTACAGTCCGTGCGTTTAAAACCAGCTACAGAAATTAATGTGCTTCAGACAGTGTACATAACCTACTAAAAGTGTGGATTCTTAAAAGTGATCATGTGAGCAGCTGTAGTGGTGAGACGGTAAACTCATTACACGAAGAGCTCATCCAGAGCTCAGTGCGCGAGACGGGACATAAAGAGAGCCTCAGTCTCTTTACACATGCTGTAGCGAGGGAAGCCTTACACGAGTGACATCATTTGCAGAAACATCGTCTTTCATGTAGAACTGGTCCATAACCGTTGGGTCAAGCTCACTCATGAGAACTTCCAGGGTCTGATCCGCCTGCTTGTTCTCCCAGAACTCCGGCAGATCCAGAGTAAACAGGTACCTGGGAGACAAGGATCTCATCAAATCAACCTCCCATCCATCGACGAGGCCTGCCTCTCCCACTATCAAACAGTACCAGCCTTGAAATGGGTCAGGACTGTTCCTCATTACCCAGCATTAAAAATGTTCAGCCCTAGCATTAAAAATCACAAGAGATACGAAAGGCGGTCCTCTTCCCTTCTGTGTCCAGTACTTTTGCCAGATATCTGTGCTTGTACTGATGGTTTCACTCACGTGGTTTAATTTCTTTTGCTTTATCGGCTCTTTGCAGCATCTACGGTTATGTTTGAAAAAGATGACAGGTTAAAAATGGTGATATTCCAATCCTAGGCAGTTGTTGCTTAATCTTTGATAAAAAACACAAGTAAATCATTTAGCTCTCCAGCAGCTCCACAGATGTGAATGCTACATTCAACAAGATAACTAAGTTACAATGTGCACTTGCTGGCAGCTATAGAGAAAATACAATGACAGTAATTCTCAGGGCAAAATAAACTTACAGATTACTGATGCATACTTTTAAAGAGCTTACTGTCCAGGGAGAAAAGTTACACCTCAAAATGAATTATGTCCCTATGCCATAAATTCCCCCTCAAACATTCTACTTAATATCTGAACATAATTTCATTAGAATGCGTTCCTGGAATAAAACTGGATCAGCAGAGGTTTTACAAACAAGTCAGAAAAGTCTTACCAACAATCAGAATTCAAACGCCCCATGCAGTAGGCCGCGCCATCTGGAAAACAGAAGGTCCTCGGTTTTAATTGCGCTGTTTCAGTCACCTCCAGAGACGCAAGGCTATCTGATCCACTGGGACCCAGCTCCCGCGCCCACCCCACCGCACGCGACCGCCGTTCCCGCGGTACTAGAACGGGCCCCGCGGCGAGCTCAGCTGACGGCTTACTTGGAAAGATCTGGCTGAGAAACTCGACTTCCTCCTGGAAATTCCGGTGAGGGAACTCCTGATGGGCTGGCTTCATGAAGTTCTTGCGGGAATAGAAGAAGTTCTGGGGAACAAATCACAATCAGGGGAAGGCGAAAGCCACATGGAATAAACACCAACGCGCCGAGGAGCAAAGCTATTTTAAACCACCCCACGAAACAAGTGCAAACACCCAGTACAGGGATGTGAAATGCACCTACAGCTGGAAATGTAACGTTACTGCGGTTTCCAGGCATCTCTGATCTCACAGAAGGGCCACTAAAAACCCGTGGAACACACAGTCGCGGGAATGCAAAGCCGCAGTCAAGCCCTTTCAGTGAAGGGGTGGTGGGAGAGCCCGGCGCCTCTTGCCCGTACCTCGATGGCATCGAAGCCGCAGTACTCCCGCGCCAGCTCCAACAGAGGAACCAGTGCTTGCAGTAAGAGGGTGGTCCCGCAGGTCTTCAAAATGAAACGTCTCTTGGAGACAAACATGCTACTCTCACTGTGGACAGAAAGGGAAGACGTTAACAAGGAGGCCAAGGCCGAGCCCTCCAGGGGAGCAGCACGTCTTGCGGGGGATGCCCTCAGGTTGGGTGAACGCGATGCTATGAAGTGTGGGAAGCAGAAATTGCAACAAAACTTCACGCAAAGCCTCCCGCCGGCACTTCTTAGCTCAAAACGTCACCCTCAATAAGAACGTTAAGCCAACTAATCAGCTAGATGTGTGAAGAGATCAACTGCTCGATTACATGCTTCTGTTACTATAACCAGGGCCGGGAGCACTTGGTTCCAAACGCTGAGGAGAAATTCACCGTCTCCAGCCAAGATAAGAGGAGGGTTGTCTAAGCATGGCCGTTGCGATGTTTCTCAAAAGAGATTTCACATGCAGCATACCACAATGCACAGTTAGACCACAGTGTTGCTACACGGTGAAAAGCACGCAGGCCAAGTGCAGGCACTTAGAACCAGTGGAATTTCCCTGCTCCGCTCCTAGAAGGCCTTGATTAAATAAGACTGAAACCAGACCATGGCCATCCCAGGAAAACGGGACTAGAGAGTACAGATGCACCACCTTTTCAGGTAATGCACCAAGTAGTAACGTGATCCAAAAAAAAAACCCCACATCAAACCCCTTATTATTCAGTATCGGTAAGAAAGTGGGCAGATTTCTGAAAATAATCATAGCCCAAGGAAAAGCAGTAACGGTGCAGGATCATGTTTGGACACAGGTAAATTAAAACAGGAATTTGGAAGACTACAGGGGATTTACGTTTAATGGGCACATGCAACTTGGACCCTGATGTATGATGGAAGCTGGAGAGCCGATGAGATCTGGCAGCCTGTCAGGGTTTCTTTGTTCTGCTTGATCCCGATTCCCAGAAGAGCATTAAATCTGTATCTTAAGGTAACGGACTCGAGCCAAGGACGACTCAGTCGAAAGGACTTTGTTTCCAGGAAGAGCCAACCACCGTGCAGAGCTGCCAATGAATATCTCAAATTTGGAAAACCTTTCCGATCACAGAGTCCAGACAAGAGCTCACGCACAGCACCGCCCCCCCATCTGTTCCACAAAGAGACGGCCAAATAACCACACCCGGAAAGCCAGCCAGTGTGTGTAGCCCAGGGCTCCCTGTCTGGAAACTGCCAGCAGCACTCGGAGGATTGGCCTTAGCAACACAGGCCGACACACCTGAAGCACTGGCAAGACAGGCTGATCTTACCCAAGGTCAGCTTCCCGGGCTGACTGATCAGCTTTGC